TAAATTAAATAATAATAAAAAAGTAAAAGGTTTAATAATTATTAATAAAAAAAGTATATTAAAATTTATATTAAAAGGTAAAAAATAAATAATAACGTAAAAATAATTTTTATCATAATCTTTTTATTTTAATTATTAATAAATTATAATTATTTTATTTTATATTTTATTTAATATAATTATTAATATAATATTTTTTATAAATTTTATAAATAATTTAAATATAAAAAAATTAATTGTAAAAGAATTAATTATAATAATGTTTAATGTAAATTTTAAAGCCATATTTAATCGTAAATAAAAAAAATTTTATTATTTAATTAAAATTAAAATTAAAAATAAAAAAACTATTTTTATTAAATATTTATATATTTAAAAAGGTAAAAAAAAAAAAATTTAAAAAAGTTTAAAATAATAAATTATTACATATATACGCGTTATAAATTATTAAATAAATGCGTAATAAATAAGTTAATTAAATATAATTTAATTTTAAAATTATAAAAATTATATTAAATATAATTGGTTTATAATTTTTTAAAGATAATAAAACGGTAATATGGTAAAAATATTATTATTTTATTAAGTCTTAAAGTATTTATTATATATAATTTAAAACTATTTTATATTTTAATAAAAAAGTTATTTATATTATTTATAAAAAATAAATTATATATATATTTAAAAATTTTTAATAATTAATAAATAATTAAATAGTAAAATAATTAATATTAAAAGTAAATATTTAAATTAAATAGTTATAATTAATATAATTTATTAATATAATAAAAATAATATAATTAAAAATTTATATAATTTTTTTAATATATTAAATAATAATTTATATATGTATTATATAATTTTAAACGTAATTTTATTACGTTAAAATCTTTTTAAATATACCGTAATAAATTTAATAAATATAAAAATTAAAGAAATAATTATATTATATTAAATATATTAATATTATATATTATTTATATAATATATTATAATTTAATATGTTATATTATTGATAATATTATTATTATTTAAAAAATTAATTTTTTTTTAAATTTTATAATAAATAAATTTATTATAATATTATTATTTTAACTGTTGTTATTTTTTAAATTATCTTTTTTTTTAAATTTAATAATTAATAAATTTAATATAAAACTATTATTTTAATTGTTATTATTAAAAGTAATAAAAAATTATAAAAAAGATAAAGTAAATATATTATTAAAACTTTTAAATTATTAACGTTTTTAATTAATATATTTATTATTATTATTTATATTAACGGCGTTAAATGATATATTTTTATTATTATTATTAAAAAATATAAATTAATTATTTATTAAATAATATTTATAAAAATTTTTATTAGTTATTTTATTTTTGTTTTTTTTATTACATTTAAAAAATATAATTTAATTATTTATCAAATAATACTTATAAAAACTTTTATAAGTTATTTTATTATTTTTATCGTTTTTATCATTTTTATCGTTTTTACTGTTTTTATTATTTTTATTATTTTTATTATTTTTATTATTTTTATTATTTTTATTATTTTTATTATTTTTGAAATATATTATTTAATTATTAATAAAATAATATTTAACAAAATTTTTATAAGTTTAAAATAAAAACCGCTTTTTAAAAAACAGGCTTAAATTTAATTGGCTAAGATTAAAAAATAAACACAAAAAAATTTTACTTAAAAATACAACATTTTTTATATAAATATTAAAAGTTTTTACAATATTCGTAAAAAGTAAAAATTTATAACAATATTTTTTAAATATATAAAATATAATAATATTTTTATTAAAAATAAATTAAATAAAATAAATAAATAAAAATTTTTAATAAATATTATATAATTTTTAACATTTAATATTATAATATTACTTTTTTATTTTTACATAATTATTAATATATATTTTAAATATATAATTAATTAAATAATATATATTTTTATATTATTTAAAAAATAAAATAATTTCCATTTTATTATTTTATAAATAATATATATTTTTATAAAACATTATTAAATTTATTAAAAAATTAATATTTAAAATATTATATTTACTTATATAATTTACCTTAAATTAATTACTTTTAAAATTAAAAATTAAATAAATATATTTTAAAAAAGTAAAAAAATAAGTTATTTAATAAATTTTATCGCAATTTAATATTACGTTTTAAAAATTATTATTTTATTTTACGTTAAAATTTATAATAAATATAAATATTTTTTTTTAAAAAAGAAATATATTATCGTAAAGAAATATTTAATATTTAAAATTTGGTATAAATAAATAATATATTAAATAATTAATTAATATTTAAAAAAAAAAAAAATATATTAATTTATTATTTTTTTAATATTATAAAAAAAATAAAATAATTTAATAAAATAATTATTATTAAAATAAATAACGGTTTTTTTTTATTAAGTTTTTTATAAATTAATAAATAAATATAATTAAACGTTTTATTATTTTATTAAATAATATTTTTTAACTTATTTTTTATTTTAATAAATTAAATATTATTAATTATAATATAATAAATATAAATAATTAAATTATAATTTATATTTTTATTATAATAAATAAATTTTAATAATAAATTATATATATAATTAAAATAATTAATAAAAAAATAATATTTTTAACTTATATTATAATTTTAAAAAAAAGTTAAAAAAATTATTTAAAAATAAATAAACATTATAAAATTAATATATTGTAAATTATTATTATGTAAAATAAATAAATAATAAAAAAAAGGTAATAAAATATAAAAATAAAGTTTAAAACAAAATAATATATTAAATTAACGTATTAAAATAATAACGTATTAAATTAATAATAATTAATTAAAATAATATTAATTATTTACATATAATATTATAATATTTTATTACTGTTAATCAGGTAATATAAATTAAGGATAAGTTTTAAAATAAAAGCTTAAATTAATTTAAAAAAATAGTTATTTATTGTGTATATATATGGTTTTTTATATAAAATAAAAAAGTTTATATTAAAGTTAATTACTTTAATAAATAGTTAAAAACTATTTATAATGTTGGTTAAAAGCCTTGTTAATATAATATACCTTTAAGTTTTTCGAAATTTTTATTTTAAAAAACTTTTATATAGTTAATAAAGTTATTTTTTTTACTTTTATTTTATTATTATTTTTTAATTAAAGTAATAATTATTTATAATTTTATATATATTTATAAAAAAAATATATGTTACTTTTTAATTAAAGTAATAATTATATAAAAAGATTATATTTAAATAAATGTTTTTGTTTTTTTATTAATATTTTTTATAAATGCCGTAATTTAAAATTTATATAAACGATTTAATTTAATTTATACGTTTATAAATTATAAGTTAATTATTATTAATTTGCTTTTTTTAATAAATTATTTATATTTATAAAAAATAAATTAACCGTTATTAACTTGTTTTTTTTTTAAAGTAAAGGTTTATAAAAAGTAAATTAATTGTTATTAATTAAAACCGCTTTTTTTAAAGTAAAATAAATACGCGAGTAATGGAAATTAAACGTTAAAAACGGTTTTATTTTAAATTTTACCTTTAACGTTTTAAAAGTTATATTATTAACGAGTTAAAATAATGGTTATTGTTTTTATTTTTATTTTTATTTAATTAATGGCGTAACTTGTGTTATTTTGTAAATTTAAAACGTATTTTTATAAGTTTACACTTTTTTTAATTTAATATATGTTAAAGGTTTAGATTTTATATATTATAAACGGCGTATTTAAGTTTTTTATAATGTTTTATTAATTAATTATATTTTTTTTTTGGTTTTTTAAAGTACGGATAAAAATGGTTTAATATATTACTTTTTAATATTATAATAAATATCTTTAAATTTATAAACAATAATATTATTTTTTAATATAATAATATTATTAACTACTTTTTATAATTGTTTAACGAAAGTTATGTAAATTTTAAAGCTTTATTTTTAATTATTTAATCAACTTATATTTAAGTTTAATTAAAAGTTATTTTACCGGTAATAATTTTTAAAAACTTTTATATAAATAATTATTTTTAAATTTTAACTAAGTTTTAAGTCTTGGTTTTAATATATGTACGTTTTTATTATTTATACCACTTTTTAAAACTTTAAATATTATAAGTTATTATTATAATTTCTTTATATTTTTAACATATAATGGTAATAACGTTTTTTTTAAATGGTATTAGTTTTTTTCGAAATAACTATATAACTTTTTAAATTAACAATAGTTTATTTAAGTAAATTATTTTAAATTTTATTATAATTAATTATAAAATTTTAAAATTAATTGTATAATTAATTTAAGTTTAAATTTAAATATAATATATAAACTCGGTTAATTAAATCGAATGACGTATTAAAAAGTCTTTTTTTTTGTTATTGTATAAGTTATATATTTTATTGTTTATAAAAGGGTTTTTTTTACAATTTGTAATTGTTACTTTAGTTTTTTTTTTTACCGCAATTAACGTTAGTTTAACTAGCGGATAAATTATTATATAAAGTATATTTTAAACATTAAAATTAATATAAAATTACACTTTACATTATTTAACATACATACGGAATTATATATATTAATTGGTAAAGTTTTATCGGTTATTAAATTTAATGGTTATTAAAATAACTGTATCAAAAACTATTAAAAACGATATTTTAATCGTTTAAAATATAAATAAAATAAATAAGTAAATAAATAAATAAATAAATAAATATATAATAAATAAATGACCGATTTATAAGTTTATAATTTAAGATAATATATAATGGTTATTTTAAATATAAACCAAGACTTATAATTGTTAATCAAGTAATATAAATTAAAAATAAATTTTAAAATAAAGGCTTGAATTAATTTAAAAAAATAACTATTTACCGTATATATGTATGGCTTTTTATACGAAGTAAAAAAGCTTATATTAAAGTTAACCACTTTAATGGGTAATTAAAAACTATTTATAACGTTAGTTAAAAACTTTATTAATGCAATAATTATTTTTTTACTTATTAATTTATTTATATTTATTTATATTTTATAAAAAATTAAATATTATTATTATTATTTAAAACCAATTTAAATAATTAAAAAATATTATTATAAATAATAATATTATTTATTAATTAATTTAAATATTTAAGTATTTATAATAACTTTTTTTAATTTTTTTTAAAAAAACCTTTAAAAAAAAAACCGATTTTAAATTACTTTTAAAAAAATATAATAATATAACTTTTATTTAATAATATAAAATAATAAAATTTATTAATAACAATTTTTAAATTTACTATATATTATAACTTAAAATTAAAATAAATAATCTTTAATTTAAAAATAAAATTAATTAAAAATCCATTTTTTTTAATTTTACTTTTTTTGGTTATATTATTAATTTTATTACAATTAAATATTATAATATATTTAACATTAATATAATTTTATATAAATTTTATATTATATATTAAATTTTACATAAAAAAAAAACAAATAAAAAATAAAATTATTTTACAAAATAAATTATTATTTAATATAAAAAATATTAAATATATCTTAACTTTTTATTTAAATAATTAAATAGTTTAATTAATTAACGTTTATTTTATAAATTAAAATATTAATTTTTAATTATTTTTATATTATTTATATATTTAAATTTTAATATATTTCCATTTATATTAATAAAAAAAAATTTTTAAAAAAGTTTAAAATATTATTTTAAATATTAAAAATAATATAAAAAATTTAATTATTTAAATTTTAAACAAATAATATATTATAATTTATTTATATTTAAAAATATATAATATTATAAATAAAAAATAAAAAAACGTTTTATTAACATATTTTAATTAAATAATTTTTAATTATTTATTATTAAATTATATAATATTATTTTTTATTTTTTTATTTTTTTTTATTTTATTTATAAAAAAATAACGCTTTTTTTATAACTTTACATATATTATAATAATATATTTAATTAAAGCCATTTTAACCTTTAAAACTGGTTTCGGTTAAAATATTAAACCATACTTTATATATATAAATCGTACACCTAATTAAATCGCTTAAAAAATGATACACGTGCCAAATACTGCCTATTAAATTACTTTCTTATTTAAGCTATGGAAAAAATTCAACACAATAACCCCTCGTAAACTTGGGCATACCGAAAGTCGGGTACCTATGGAGTAATTACGCAGATGCTATACGGCACGGATAAAGATCATGTCTAGCCCCCGGGAAACAAGTCGGCCACAGCCGTCGGCATAGCCAAGTTTTGATTGGCTATAACTATTTAAATAACACGCCTACTTCGTATTACATAATTGAGAAGTATCTATTCGTGCTTGTGAATGTATATAATTTCCTATGTAGACCTAACCACTATTATTCTCACTAATCCATTAACCCGCTGACCACCGTCAACCAACAGCAGGGCCAACCGACCTGACAGCTAACGAAGGATAGTCGATTGCTTGTCTCCCGACTGTCGGCAACGGGTCTATGGCTTTAAGCTTATTCCACGTTTTCATGATCATCTCCAAGTATTTCTCAAAGCCGCTATCTGGGCCGACAGCGCCATCTCCTGCAAACTCAGAGGCAAGGTAGATTAGTTCATCTACCGTCACATCTCGATGGTCTACTACCGAGATACAGAGAATGTATGCCAAGATGTTCTTATGAGTTGAAATCACTCCTTTTGTGGCGAAGTTGTATTTGTACGTATACATGTCCACGCGGATGATTGCATTGCTAGATCGTAGTTAGTACGTCTAGGTATTCATCCCTATTAATCAAGAGTTTCAACTTGCTGTTTGACGCAGACGAAAAACTTTTTATCGTAACTCTCGCCGGCTGAGGTGTCTCCAAGGATAGTGGAAAGCCCAGTCTTAACGACATTCTTGAACCCATCGAGGACACCATTTAAGCCCGTGTCGCCGGCACCGAAAAAAGCGTCCACAGCTTTGTCAACGCCGTCGCCCGGCTATTATACATCGTTAGGTAGCTATTCATTGTGTTACTCGCACCTAAGCAGTGACCTAAGTCGTAGACAGATATACATACCGTACTCTCCGTATCAACTTGGACATATCGCTCGAAGCGAAGTGCCCTCTTCCCCGGCACGCTCGTCTTCATCGCAGATTCATGATCGAGAAACATCGACTTCAGCTCCCCTTCGAAAGTATTTAAGCGGGCATCTGCGAGCTTCATCATTAGCTCAAGCTGTTCTTTCGCTTTCATCTCATCTTCTTTGCTACGATCAAGCGCATTCACTATAGCACTCGCAGCTTGGCCCATCCTGAAGAATTTGTGCTGGTGATAGTTGACGTTTGAAATATTCAACGTGCGATGAGATCATGGATATTCACCTTTTCACGAGATGGGCAAGTAGCTTTATATCAATGCTTCATCGCTTCGGCTTGAGTCCAGACTACCTAGAATCACATGTGACCGTCTTGATATCTCCCGTTGAAGCATAAGATTCAGCTAAAACGCCTTTTCGCGCAAAAGATAGCCATTGTACACGAAAGTAGTTCATGTAGTTACTTTTTCCTAAGCATAATCTGTGCGGAGAGTATAGTGGCGTTGTCTAGGTCATCCTAGCTTCCCATATTCGGGCTGAGCGACAGGGTTTTTTATCAGCTGTACATAGTCGGTGTCATTGAAGACTACTACATATCATGGTGGCTAAAGCCTAGAATTGTAAGAACTTAGCCGCCTTTGGTAATTCAGCCAGCAACTCTCGGTCACCGCCGTTCGGTAATGCCCAGGTTTACGAGGGGTTATTGTGTCGAATTTTTTCCATGGCCCAAATAGGAAAGTAACTCGATGGGCAGTAGCTGAGGTTTGCATCTGGCCGCTTCCTACAACCACTTAACCACCGTACAGGAGTTAGTACATGCGAATGGAGGTATAAATACCAAAGCCAAAGACAAGTATGGATTAACAGCACTTGTGGTTGCCGTTAAGAACGACTGCGAAGAAGTTGTAGAAAACAGCTTCTTGCGGACGAAGCTATCGATATAAATTCGAGGGATCGGAGTGGCCGAACTCCTCTATCTCTAACGGAAGGACGTGAGAATATCTCAACACTTCTACTTAGTAAAGGTGCCGACCCGAAAATTGCAGACTATTTAGGGCGTACTAACCTCTGGTTTGCGATAATTATTACGCGAGTGTGTTATCCCAAAAGACTCGTACCAAGAACACTATCTTTTAAAGTCAGCCTTATTACAAAACTTGCTATAAGTCAAAACACCGTTACTGGGGCCACCTGTGTGGAGGCCACCTCGAATTTTTAGACCTTTAAAACAAAGACTTTAATTTTAAATTAACAATATTTAATTAAATTAAATTTAATTAATTTATAATTTATTATATTTTAACGATAATATAATCTTTTATTATTAATTTAACCGATAAAGCATTATTTTTAAAATTAACGTTAAAATCGTTAATTATAATTATATTATTTAATTTTTAAGTTTTTAATTACTTTTTTTTTTATAATAACTTTAATATTTATAAATATTAAATTTAAATTTGGTAATATTTTGCGTTATTTTTATGGTTTCGTATTAATTAATTTTTTTTTTAAATAATTGGCGCAAGTTTTTATTATTATTAATTTTACAGTAATATTATTAAATATTTTATTAAATTTTTTAAATAAAAGCTTTATTACAGGTTTTTTAAACGTTAAATCGACTTTAATTAATTTATTTATTAAAATATTAAAGTTTCGTGAATTTAAAAGCGTTTTTAAATGTATAAAAGTTATTTTTTCGATAAAATTAAATGTTTTAAAGTTAAAAATTAAACCTGGGATCGTTAAAGTAATATTAAAAGTTTTTTAAAACATAAACTAGTAATTTAACAGTTTATTACAATTTTTAAAATAAATATTTATAACTTTTTAATTAATTAATATATTATTTTTAATTAGTTATTTTTTTTATATTATTTAATAAATTATAATAAATTTTTTTTTATTAAAGTTATTATTATAATATAACTAGTATATTTCGGTAAATTTACATTAATAATTTTATTTTATAAACGAAAATATATTTACGTTAATAACTTATAAAACGTATAACAAATGCATTAAAATAAAAATAACGTAAACTTTATTTATAAAATATTTTTAAAAGAATTTTAAAATTATATAATTATTATAACCGTTTAAAATTAATAATTTTTATTATTGTTAATTTAACGGTTTTATTTTTTTTAAAAAGATTTTATAAAATTATTAAAATACAATATTATTATTAGTTTAATTATTAAAAAACGTAATAAATTATTAACTTTTAAATTTAACGTTTTTATTATTAAAAAATTATTATTATTATATATTTTTACTTATATATATAATAAAAAAATTTAAAAATTAATTATTATTATTAACGCATTTAATTAATAACGTTTAAGTTTTATTATTATAATTTTAAATAATAATATGTTTTTTATAAACTTTTTTAATAATTATTTTATTATTTTTAACTTTTTTCATTATTTTTATTTTATTAACGTTATACGTACGATTAAAAAAAATATTAATAATACGGGAGGTTTTAAATTAATTAAAAAAAAATATTAATATTATTAATTATAATGTTATTAACGCATTTATAATTAATTAAATAAGTTTTAACCGTTTTTATATTAAAATAATAAGTTATAAATTATATATATTAATATATATCGAAAATAATAAATTAATAATTATAAATTAATAATTTTTTAACAATATTTTTAAATTAATATAAAAATAACGCGTAATTAATACGGTTTAATATAATAATTTATTTAATTTATTTATTTTTTTAATATTTAAATAATTTTTAACGATTTTTTAAATATTTTTTTTATATTTTATAACTTAATATTTAATTTATAAAATAATGTTATAAAATAAAGTATTTTTTAAACGTTTATTATAAAAATATATTTTTAAAAATGTTATTTATTATTATAACGTAATACAATTAAATTAAAAAAATAAATATTTTAAAATTATTAAAAAATAAAGAATTAAATAATAAGTTTTATTTTTTAATTAATTTAAAATTGGTTTAATTATATAATAATTTATATATAAACTTTATTGTAAACGCGTTACGTTTTTAAAGTGGCTTTTATATAAGTGGCTTTATTTTAATAAATTTAAATTAAAATTTATTAAAATTAAACTTACGCCTAATTGCGCCATAAACGTTATAAAACGCTTAACTTATATTATTATATTTATAAGTTATAAATTTAAATTTTAACGAATTTTAGTTTAAAATATGTTTAACATATTTAACTATAATTAAAATAATTTTTTTAAAAATTAAATTTTATATTTATAATAATTTAATATTTAATAATAACGTATAAAATAACTTTTATTTTTATAATTTAAAGTTAATATTTTATTTTTTTTACTTTTTTATTTTTTTTATATATTTATATAATATTATGTTATAATATCGCAAGTTTTAACGTTTAAAAATACGTAATAATATATTAAAATAATATTTACATTTATATATATATTTATAATAATATATAATATATTTTATTTTTTTTAATTTAAGGTTAATATAATAGTTTTTTAAACCTTTTATTTTTTTTATATGTTTATACGGTATTACGTTATAATATTATAAGTTTTAACGTTTAAAAATACGTAATATATTATATTAATATTTACATTTATACGCTTGTATTTACAACCATATATTTACACTTATAACTACGTTTAAAATACCTTTTATTTTTATAATTTAAAACTTTTAATTTAATTATTTAAACCTTTTAATTATTTTATATGTTTATATAATATTACGTTATAATGTTATAAACTTTAACGTAATATATTTTTAAAAACGTTATAACTGATATTATAACCGGTATTATAACCGATATTACAGTTAATTATTATTTTAAAACGTTTAAAACGCGTATATTTAAACGTTTAAAACGCGTATATTTATTAATAATAAAATTAATAAATGTTTTAAATTAATTAAAACTTACTTTTAATATATTAATATTATTATTTTTAATATTATATTTTTAATATTAAATAATTAATTGTAGCAAAAATTACTTAAGTTGCTTTAAACCAAAGATGCGAAATTTGTGGGGGGGATAGGTTGGGGATATGATTGGTTAAAAAAAGGTGTGGCGGGAGGGGTATAACAAAATTCGCGTTACTGGTCTGAGTTCACTGAGATAAGGGTGGCCCTAGTAACGGTGCTTTGACTTATCGTTAGCCAACAGCGATTTTTTATCGGGGGCAAGTCAATATAGTTCTACACTCAATTGCTCCGTCGTTCGTGTGCTCTGGATTATGTTGGCAAAACTCGAAATGCCCGATATTCACAACCAAGACTACGGGGGATATAGTTTTATGTTCTTCCACTTTACAGACCTTTACCCCACATTGTCTAAGTACGGAGTTGTGGTCAAGGCTATCTTCAAAGAGTTTAAGAGAATGAAGAACGAAAGATGTTCTGCTCGGCACTTCATTCAGCAGCATATTGTGCAGCCACTCGAGAGTCTATTCGATGGGTTAATACGGGATTGCGGTCATAAATTCGATGATGATAATTTTCCAGTTGTATCGGCATTAGTCAATTGGGAATTTGTATGGGATTACTATAAAGTACTGGAGGATAAGGAGGAAATGGTTTCCGATTAGCATAGAAGGAAGTTCATGAACATGATCAATCGTTGGTTCCTTACCGCTATTAGGGGGGGTCTAAGGAACGGTATATATACCGTATATATTAGATACTATTCAGTAAATTGAACCGCTTTAATACTTAAATCGAAAGGCTCGAGTTTAAATTTCGGGATGTTAAACCCAATTATAGCAGTTCAAATGAATTAAACAGTTTATGTATATAATCTTTCCGAAGGATTATTACAGGAAGATACCTCTAGTAATTACATAATAAATATTCAATACTTAAATAAGGTTAAATACTTGCATATTCCCTTGTCCCACTATGGTGTTTATTTAATGGGTCTGACCATCCTTCGTACCTGTTAAGTGCTATTGATTCCAATCTTTATAACATAATCAACTTCTTATCCTCCCTCTAACCCAGGGAACAACAAGGGCAAAATAACCACAATGGATAAGTCCGACCTCCTGTTATATGCCAAGGAGTATGCGACCACACAGGATCTGTACGAGCTTCTGGGTGTAACATCTGACACGCCCAAAGAAGACATCCACCGCGCTTGGTACGTCATATTCTATCCTTCATCTAACAGTCTCATGCATATAAATCATAATACTAACACACTATCCATAGGCGCAAGCGCAGCTTGAAATACCATCCTGATAAAGCGGGAGCCAACTTCGACCCGGCGAAATGGGAACTATTCGAGCGAGCGCGGGACGTACTGTCCGACGCCCCAGCGCGCGAAGTCTACGACTCACAACGGTCCGCCGCCCTCCTGCGCGAACAGCAACGCCGCGCCATGGACTCTAAGCGACGCGCTATGGTAGAGGATCTCGAAGCACGAGAACGCGGGGCCATCAAGCGCCCGCGCGGTGAGGGCGACGGCCCTACGATGAGCGAAGCCGAGAGGAGACGACTGGTCGAAGCTGGGAAACGGCGTCTAGAAGAGAGGCAGAGATTAATGAGAGAAGCGGAGGAGAGAGAAAGGCAGCGAGAAAAAGAACAAGCGGTACAAGCGAGTAAAGAGAACCAGAAAAAGGCACAGCCGCGAAATCCAGAGGAACAAGGAGGTCCAAGAAAAGCACCAGATACTTCGAGTGCAGCCGAGTCAAAGATGGATATCGACCCAGAGCCACCAGCCAGGAACGGCGACGGCTATGATGATCAGATCGCAGACCTCGAGCGGCGACTAGAGGAGGCGCGGCAGCGGAAAGCAGCCAAGAAAGAAAAGAAGACGGGGAGGAAGAATGGCGATGAGAAGCACAAGACACATGAGACTATACCTACTCCCGATGCCTCGCGAGGACCACAAGCTGACGAAAAGAAAGGCACTTCTACGTCGGGAACAGCGAAAACATTTTCCTTCTCCGCCTCTACAGGCACCTCTGCGTCTACCAACGGCAATACTACCACTAGCAGCAAGCCCAGGGCTAAAGGGGACTTCGCATCAACGATGGCTAGGCTGCGTGCCGCGCAGGCTGAGAAAGAGGCTCGGAAGAAGGCGGAAGAAGGTGCTGCTGCTGCTGATGGGGTTGGCGCCTAGTTGGATGAGGAGGATCAAGTGCCCCTGTCTAGATAGCTGCCATCGTTCTCGATTTTGTCTCTACTAACCTACATATTATGATACCCCGGGTCTTTTATAGAAAGGATTCTACTTGAAGTGCATGCATGCATTAGAATAAAAACGATATATTCAAGGATACCCAAGATAGAATACCGTTCTTAATTGTGAATATTGGAATAATTCCACGCTGTAACGAGACTTGCTACTGACTTTGTATGCCCCATGATACATAATGTACCTGATAGTTATAATGAAATATTGATCTTCAATATGTCTACCTATGAAGCGGACTTTGGTATATACGATACAGTATACAGGTACACGCTATGAGCAATATCTCATAGCAACATAGTTACGCACGCCCTCTAGGAACGTGATATTTATACAGCCCACCCATTCAACAACCACGAGCAAAGCCAACCTTCTACGTGCCCTCTTGTAACCTCTCACGCATCCAATCCGGCACAAACGCCTTGATCTTGACGGACTGTCCTCCACCACCCTCCTCATCCACCCCCCACTTAACAACAAACTCATCACGGCTCGGGTCAAACGGTGCTCCGGCGGCCGTCTCCCCTGGTAGTTCGATATCCGTCATGATCTGCAATCTGCACAGCGCCAAGCCGATGTTTCCCACCCCACGAAGCCAAGTCCCTGCGCTGCGGCCTTTGGTGCCGTCTCTGCCTATACTCAAGTTCGACGGGATGTCCTCTGCTGATAATTCCTCCTTGGCCCCTTCCCCACGTGTACCCTCGTCGGAAATATAGGGCTTATACTCGAGGACTCCTGGCGGAGAAGGGGAAGAAGGATTAGGAGGGTATAGTAGACATGGCAGTATACGCTTACGCACGACGCCGCGGTGCCGTGTGCGAATCGTTAGTTCCTGCCCTACGTAACACCCCTTTCGGAAGTCAATGCCTCCCATGAGGTCCATATTGGCCTCGAGCGGAAGTGCTTGCTCGCGCGGTATCTCAGCCTGGCCCTCTGCTACGCCGAGCAAATACCGCCTTACGCGATACGCATTGTCGTCACTTTGCGCTAGATCCACGTCCAGTCCGTTCGCTCCCCCGCGTCGAAGTACTCGGTATCCCATCCCAGGGGCACGAGTATCCGGCAGGATGATACTGTCTTTTAGATGCGATAACAGCGAATGCTCAGGCGAGGAGAGAGAAGAACCATCCCACACCTGCCACGCAGCAACTTCACCCTCGTCCAAGACCCGGAACGTGAGTTTGCTCCGCAGCTTGTAATGCTTGATATGCCACGCCAGCGTATGTACCTGCATGGCATCGACCTCGATGACAAAAGCCTCCCCATCCGCCGCGCCTACGTTAATGCCTAGCGTGTCCCGGTAGACAAACACGTCATGCAGCACGCGGCCCGTCGCATTCAAGAAACCGCTGTAGAAACCCGGCGCCCCGGCAGCGAGACTAGTGTGAGAGGACACCGGCGTATTATGCCGATGTCTAGCGCTCCCGCCCCCGGGCTCATCAAGCACAGACTGCGTGATCAGGCCGTGCAAGAACCTGGGCGCATGCGGACCGGCAAGGCTGATCAAGCGCCGGGAGGTCAGCAGCGCATAACCGGAGGGAGGCGGTGGTGATGGAGGAGCAGTAGCACTTGCGCGGCCTGACGTCGCTGAGAAACGGCGCAGCGATCCCTGGCACGATTGGCATACGAAAGGCAGAGGGAAGTGGCTTAGGCCGCGTCCGGGGGCGCTGCGCGGTAAGATCGGCATCGCGTAAATCTTCCCGTATGGGATGGGATAGGATAGGATAGGATTGATAGATAGATACCGCGCCGCAAAGTACGCAGCACGCAGCTCGCAGCTTGCAGTACGTGGTATTCTATCTTTCGGACTACTAATAACCAGCGAAGTCCGAGGCAAAGGTCTCTGGGGCGATGTCGGAATCCTTGGCTAGAGGAAGGGGAGGGATTATCACGAGGCTTTGGAGGGAATTAGTTGTACGGCGCGGCAGGGTAAGGTTGGGTAGCCTTGTCGGCTTGGCGTGTTTAAAACGAACCGTGCGTTCCGGGGGGGGGAGGAGGGTTGGCCTCGGATGAAAAGAGCTGTGATGTAATTTTTTGTTCGCTCCTTACATCGTTGCGGTGCCGCTTGCGAAAACTTTCCGGCCGAGCATTACATAATGCTATTTTCCTGTGAGTTCGGGGGTGGCTCGGCGTCGATATCCTAGGTCGGACTTCGGGTTTTTCGGTTCCGAAATCCTGGTCTCGAGGACTGTCTCCTCCTCCTAGGTTAAAATCTAAAATATTTTTTTATTTCAGTGCCTAAGCTAGCAGACTCTGCCTGCTAGTGTAGGCACCTGACCTCACTAACAGCCCTACGTACGAAAGTACCTAGGTATCTATGTACATGGAAATGGAATCATCATTCCGGAATGTATCTACTCCGGTAGCGAGCTAGCAAGCCTTGGTGGGGTTATTCTGCCCTACGATGATTGATACTAACGTAAATCCGCCGTAGTCTCGGTTCGCGACTAATAAGGTTGTAAACTTCGATTGTTATGTAGATCCATTAGTTAGACCGGGTCATATACTGTACATACTACGAATAATGGTTTCTTAATTCTGTTAGCGCATGATGCTATTATGAATAATCACATTGACTCGATTAGGATTCCGTATATAGCCCGCGATCCGCGACCCGACGTCAATATTCCTTAATCTACCGCTCCGGCTAGTAAGCGATCCTCACGGCTCAACTGGTCCGACAGTTGTGGCAATGGAGGCTTGAGTACGTACTTTAGTCATATTAAATCGGGACCAGAGCCAATGTACACGCATATCTCCCGTATCTCCTTGGACCCTTTTTGCATAACTGACTTACACCAACAACATGTACAAGATTAGGTAGGTAAGTCCGTAAAGAGAGAGACGTGTAATGCCGGAGGCTAGGGTTATCACGTCAGCGAACAGCCCGTTATCTCATTCATTATCTTATGTGGATATTGTGAACGATCGCTATCACAGATCGTCCATACTACGACTCAATAATAACTCGGCAATCGGTCATTCAATTCTGCATTACGCACGTACGAGTCTTGTTTAATCCGATTCATGTTAGTTACAACCTATCATATATCATATAGTTATACATACCTAACCTACATAAATCATATACCCAACATTACCTACCCAACATACCTAGGTAGGTACTGTACATTCTTACCCGGTTAGAGGATCATTGCAGCCGAGGGAATACTCCGCGAACAAATGCCCGGGTAAGGTAAACTCCCTGATGTGCGATACCAACAAAGTTGATACTTTCAAGGCTTCCTGCATATGTATCTCCGTATGTACCTACCATTCTGGCATTCAGAGGTAGGTATGACGATCTCCTTGCATGCAGCAGCGAGCATTAAGAGCAAAGCCCGGATTTGTGTCACCACCTGTAACGTGTCTATAGATCCATCCGCCCTACTTAAGGTACATCCATACTTTCGTAGGGTATGGGAAGTGGTTTTGTTGTTGTATGTATGTAAGTATGTAAGTATATGTATGTTGAAGTGTGTAAGTATCCTGCTGGTGTGTTGGCAGTACCAAACTGCATTATACTCAACGACCCAACTATATACCCAAGACATCCAAAGTCCCAAGTTCAATGGATAAACCACATAGTTTAGTCATCCTATGAGATGTCGAATGTCGAGTGCATGTAATAGCTAGCTAGTAGCTAACAGCTAGTTCCCCTTAGTGCAACCAGTCAAGATATTGTATAGCTCTCTCCATAGTCTCGGCCGTGGCTAAGACGATGCTAGTTGAGTGACATGCAGCCCGAATGATTCACACGGCCGTTTGAACCAGGAAACCGATGAATCAGCGTCGCTTTCCCCCGCCGACGGTCCCCTCCTTGCTACCGTCGTGTCCCGCCAATTTGCAAAGCCTCACCGCTCCTCTACGTAGGCTAGCGGCCAAGCCAAGCCGTTTGTGTGGCTGCTCCGCAATGGCCCCTCTACGTTCTGGCGGTCGACGAGTGGGTAGATGCGCGAACGATGGCAAGATGACTATAACTTGCCTTGTCGGCTAGGGCTAATTTATCGTAGCACGTCCACGAGCCGTCCATTAACCTAACCTAACCTAACCTAACCCGTGTGTAATATAAGTTGTCTAAGCCTACTATCCTACAGGAAAGTATACTAGACACATATGCCTAGTATACATACCATATATTGGTCACGTATCACATATTGTATCGTATCGATCACGTATCCGTGGTACATGGTCCGACCAGAAACCCAACCAACCCTAATTCTCATGTTCGCAATAGCGCGGTTGCAATATCTTCACCGAATGCTTTAGACATGTTTCATCCAGTCAACATAGCCAGGGGTGATCTACATATGGATCACGGGAAGATCTCCCTTAGGGGTTTTGTCTCGGGGGCCGTTGATTAATTAGGTACATATCCCTTCGTGCATACCGATATAAGTATCTTAAGGTAAGTACATACCTATCATAAGGCACACATCTAGATTCCGTATAATTGAGACTATGCGCAACTATATTGTTATTTGATTCAAGTTGCAATCTCGAACATCAGATACCGAGCTGTGCGACAGTCGCTCAATGGGCAATTCACGATATAATCTGTCAGACAGTCGGAATTCTATCATAATGTCATATCGGGGATTACAGTCTGCCGATAGTGGTCTGGTTGATCATAATGACAATACTCCAATCATACAGATTATACAACGTGTAATACCCATGAATGCGACATGGAGAAATCAAAAAGCACATGGTTCGCATGTTGAGACGGCGAAAGGCTGCGGCATTATAGATATCGTGATTTGAGGCTGTAAAGTCGGGGTTTGAAAGCAAAACAATAAAAGCACCTTCTTCACGATCTCACCTGCCTAGCAGATCAATATATTGTAAATTGGTCTTAGCGGGAAGAAGCAGCAACTCTCTTCCACGGGCAGCATAGAAACATGCACGCACGGTCATGATAATCGACAAAGGGGAACCAGTAGAAACCTTCGATGAAACCTAACCCGCGGCGACTGTAACGGCAATCAACCGCTGTAACTGGCCATCTCCCTAAAGCGTCGCCCCATCTATGGAGAGAGCGGTGACAGGCGTCGAAGCTGACCGCAGATTTGGGTTACCTAGTATGCGGGAGAGCAGGGGTGTCAAGGCGTGGCCGTGCGTTGAGACGACCTTCTCTCGACCGCAGCGAGCTCTGTATGTATTATCTCAGCATCGTCAACGAGTTCGCGCTTCTCCGCTGCATTTCCCCTTCAGGGGAGGACGGAGATTGAGCTAGGTACTGCAACGCGTCAGATGGCTTCATTTCGCGTTTGCCAGAATTGATAGGGCAATCAACATCGGGGAACGGTTACACCCCATGCCATATTGCCATATTGACGCCTCTTCGCTAAACAATTCCCAAGACGACATTGTCCCAGACGGGAGGCTCTCGACGGTGTAGGGTGTAGGGCTGGCTAACCTGGGCTGGCTCCCGGCTGCTATGTAATTCGTCCCCAGCCGGATGCGAGGAAAGCATATCCGTTCAAAACATTAGATTTAGTAGGGGTCCATCATATATCATGTACATATGTACCCTTTGTCTCCTTGTTATGTCTCTCCTTGGCCTGAACGGTACTTCTCCGAATTGCCTATTACATACCTAGGTAGATACCCGTCTTTCTCGTCGCCGTCTAGGAGATCTAGACCCTGCAAAAAAAAAAATAAGAAACAATGTAGCGTCCGAAAGGGGAGATTGAGCACGAATCGAGTACTCCGTGCTCCGCGCTTCGTACGATGCGGTATCAAGTGATCCGCAGATGAACCATGACATTTAGATCCGGAAATGCTTAACTAGCTGATAGCTAAACCTAGTCATAGAATAATTAAACGAAAAAAAAAGAAAATAACAAATGAAAATCCACATTGGTTTTCTTTTTTCTTTCAGCCACGACGGTAAACGAGATTGTGGGGAGTGTCACAGACAGCTCAGCCCCCAAACGAAGGTCCGCCTGAAGATCGCGGCAGAAGTTGATTGGACGATTAACGGCCGAAACCCAGGCGGTTGGGTCTGAAAAGGTTAAGTTTTCGACGGTACTTTGCGACTTTATACTTTAAAGGCTAAAACTAAACCCGTTCTAGCTTAGACCACGGTATCTAGGCCGGTGGATCTAAGATAATCACCCGACGACCCGACATCAAGGTCACCACCTACTACATTACATAATCACGCCCTTGTGCACGTCCCCTTGGCCCCCCCCCACAAACACACACGAAAGAGTGCGAGAAATACGCCAAGTCGCTGATAATCACCAGCCGGGAAGGGAGAGCCTTGTCTCGTTTTGCCTACTGCCTGGTGGTGAGTAATTACATACATACCTATGTAGCAAGAGACGACTAGGGTAAGCGAGAGCTTCCTTGCACTCCAGCTCCTTTACGTGCGTTAGGTACTCTCGTAACTAATCCAACCTAGGCAGAACCAATACTTTTTTTTTTGTTCCAATGATCAATAATATAATATCCTCATTCCGGCACAAGTCGGACTTTATGGATTTAATGCTTAGCTAATTTCCCCTTTCTATTCTACATACTTCCTTCCTTCCCCCATGTCTCTGTTCCCAGCCTGGGGTCCTGGGGGGCATACTTTACGAACCCTACATTTTTCGCTAAATATGTCCAAGTGACGCCTTTCATAGGTATTCTACTAAATTCCCTCGTCTCGACAAGCCAAGGGTTTCATCAACCTCGGACTTTTCGAGATTAAAGCAAGCTAACTAGCTTTGGGCTCCAGACCTGGCGAGGCTCGGGGTCCGGCACTAAGGCGGGGTTTATCTTCGCACCGAGTTCGTTTTTGGTAGTTTTAGCTAGCGGCAGAAGGAATACCTACATAATAATAATAGTAAGGAAGAAGAGAAGAGAATTCCTTAGGGTTCGATTACTAGGAGATATTAAAGCCCTGTCGACGAAGTTAGTAATATCCGCTCCCACCTCGGCATCTCGAACGTGATAACGATGCAAGTTTTGTATTACCGATATCGCGGACGCCCCGGCGCGCAACTTATGTACATTTTGTACCCGCGAATTCCATAGCACATGACTTAAAAAATGATCTGCACTCGGCTTTTGGATTAGATCAATCAGATAATCATTGTACAACTGTCATTATACTATGCATATAGGAAAATGTGATAATGTGATAATGTGATGAGGCTTGTTCACGAGGCAATCAATCACTGGCACGTCAAAGAATCATAGAGTTGACTAATTAATCTTTTATTTTGATTGATGGGCTATCAGCTGCATGTGC